AGAATATGAAGTAGTAAATATAACAGTAAATTAGTTTAAAGCACAGAAATGACACAAAACAGAACTTTTAGTTTGCATCATAAATTATTCACATCTGTTACCTTTTTCCAGGAACTGTATATAAGAAGCCATTAGTTCCTAAAGACCATTTTGAAGGTCAGAGAGGGAGCACAATAATTATATGCTAGAAGGCCTCAAATTCCACCCTATGATTAACTTAAGTGATACTGTCCTAGGAAAATAATCAGATTTTTGACTGATAGCTTTAGATATGGTGTGTGTGTGTGTGTGTGTGTGTGTGTGCGCGTGCACACGCGCACACATGCATGCAGTCATGTCTGACTTTTTGTGTCAGCATGGACTGTAGCCTGCCAGGCTTCTCTGTCCATGGAATTCTCCAGGCAAGAATACTGGAGTGGGCTGCCATTTCCTACTCCACACTAGATATGTTATATCCTATTAATAATGATTTTCTACTAAAATATATAAAGTATAATTTCTCAACACTGTTTTTGGTAGCAACAAAAGCTCGTAGCTTTCCTTTCTAAATTAACTTATTTCTTTGCAAAGGTAAAACATTTTTATTTTTCAAAAAATATGGTGAAAAATCCCCTATCCCCTTTACCATCTGCTCTACCATCCCCAAACATTAATTTTTAACTCCAGAAATATAGTTACGAGATGAAATCCCAGAAGTAAAAGTTCTGGGTCAGAGGTTATATGCCTATGGTAAATATTGCCAAAATTGCCTTCCACAGGAGGTATACCAGTGTGTATATCCCGTGTATAAGAGTCTGAATTTCCCACAGCCTTGGCAGCTTAGTGTGTTTTAGATTTGGGTTTATTTTGTCAGTACAGTATGTGGAAGTTTCAGATCTCTCATTGTGACAAAAGAGGAACTTCTTTTCGCATGTTTGAAATCCATTTGTGTTTTTTTTTTTTTTTCTTTTCTGCAAAGTGCCCTTAACTTTTGTCCTGTGTTCTTTTTGGTTGTTGGCTTTCTTCTTACTAATTTGCAGAAGCTCTCTTTATGGGTTAGGAAATTAATACATTATCCGAGATGTCTGTCACAAATTTTTGTTTCATAGTTTGTCATTTTTCCTTTTACTTTGCTTTTAGATTTCTTCACCATGCATATGTTTCTGATTTTTATATTGTCCAATTTACTAATGTTTTTGATTTTTAATTAAAGATGACTTGAGGATTAAAGTTATTTAAGATTAACTTGAGGATAAAATTACACGTTTTCATGTTGTTGACTACTCTGGACACATTTTGCTTCTTATATTAAGAAAAAAAGAAATTAATCCTGAGTCTGGAAATTGTTTTTCTTACATTCAATTGATATTTATTGAAGATCTATCATGTGTAGGAATCTAGTTATTAAATTAAATGTAAGTAACAAATTAAATAGTATATGGTAAATGCTATGATAGTGGGAAGCATAGGTTTGTGAGGATATGTCCAGTATAGGTTCCATAACTAAGCTGAAAACTCCTCGTGCCCCATAATCTCATTGTAAGCAATCCTTTAATTATTCCAGATGTTAGTCAGATCTCACCCATCGCACTGTTTTCTGTCAGGGATGGTTCTATCTCTATCATCAGGAAGGGATGAGTTGGGAGTATGAGAAGGAGAGGAGACCAACTATCTTAGCTAAAGGTTACCCAGATTTCTGCACGTAACTATAAAGCCTAAATGAAACATGAACTATTTTGTAATCAGATATAAAACTGAGTTCACACTCAATTTTAGAGATTTCAGGAATGTATTATGGTTTTTATCTCCAGTAGCGTCAGAATCTAGTGACTCTTAAATCTGTGCATTGAAGCAATAAAATGCTTTTTACATTTACCTGTGAGTAGAAAATGATCCAATAAAAATAAGCTGTTTAGTTCCCTCCTTAGAGATGCTGGAAAAGATAAGTTGAGGGTATTATTAGATGATATATGCATGGTACTATATTTGTGATATCAGCTGTCACACACTCACATTCACATACATATATAAATATAGTTCAGCACCATAGACGTCCTCATGAAATCCACATAAGCTTTGATCTAATACTACATTTACTTGGTTTTATAGCAGGATACAAGTCAGACAAAGCCAATACAGCCTCATGATTCATTATGCATGGCCAGACATTCCATGCTACCCACACATGTTGCTTCTTTTGACTCATCCACACAGGGAAAAGCTGCCAGGGATGAAAACCAGAGTTTATGCAGGTCACTTAATTTATTTTTTCACTTTTCTTCAGATTAAAAAAAACTAACCAATTTTATTTTAACTATTTATAGAAAGAGAAATGTTATGAACCTTATTAATCCACTTTACTGAAACACAGGTTCAATCCCTGGGTCAGGAAGATCGCCAGGAGAAGGAAATGGCAACCTACTGCAGTATTCCTGCCTGGAAAATCCCATGGACAGAGGAGCATGGCAGGCTACAGTCCAAAGGGTCGCAAAAGAGTTAGATAGAATTGAGTGACTAAGCAACAGCAGTAGCAATCCATTTTAGTATCAGATGATTGTATTAGAAATGCACTTTTTGGTACCTTATTTCATTTATTTGCAGGTAACTTTAGATAGAAGCCACATCCTCTATTTCCCTGCTGTATTTTACTCCATTTTAGTCATATAGGCCCATGGGCTGTATTTCAACTCCCAGCTTCTCCAATCCAGGCATAGTTCCATATAAGAAACAAGCCAGATATAGGATTTCCTGTTCATGGTAAAGTTCATGTCCCAAGGAAACATTGTTGTGGAAGTCCAAGGTCAGTCCTAGGCTGTCCTACATCAGTCCAGGCTAGATGTTAGCCTATTACTCATGCATTTGCATGCATTTTGCACAACATATACAAATGTAGTCATAATACATTTCAGTTTTTCGCATCAGGTGGTTAAAGTATTGTAACTTCAGCTTCAGCATCATTCCTTCCAATGAATATTCAGGGTTGATTTCCTTTAGGATTGACTAGTTGGATCTCCTTGCAGTCCAAGGGTCTCTCAAGAGTCTTCTCCAACACCACAGTTCAAAAGCATCAATTCTTCGCTGCTCAGACTTCTTTATGGTCAAACTCTCACATCCATACATGACTACTGGAAAAACCATAGCTTTGACTAGATGGAACTTTGTTGGCAAAGTAATGTCTCTGCTTTTTAATATGCTATCTAGGCTTGTCATAGCTTTTCTTCCAAGAAGCAAGTGTCTTTTAATTTCATGGCTGCAGTCACCATCTGCAGTGATTTTGGAGCCCCCCAAAATAAAGTCTCTCACTGTTTCCATTGTGTCCCCATCTGTTTGCCATGAAGTGGTGGGACCAATGCCATGATCTTCATTTTTTGAAAGTTGAGTTTTAAGCCAGCTTTTTCACGGTCCTCTTTCACTTTCATCAAGAGTCTCTTTAGTTTCTCTTTGCTTTCTGCCATAAGGGTGGTGTCATCTGCATATCTGTTACTGATATTTCTCCTGGCAATCTTGATTCCAGCTTGTGCTTCATCCAGCCTGGCATTTCACATGAGGTACTCTGCATATAAGTTGATTAAGTATTATAATGTAATGTTACATTATTAGAAGAGTATTATAATACCATAAAGAGTTGCTCTTGCAAGTTCACACTCTTTATTCCTGTGTACCTATTTTAGCCCTTAAAAATCTGAAGAAAAAGGCTTTACTCTTGCTTTTCCTTGCTCTCTGCTTACTCTTGAGCTTGGGCAATAATCGCTAATGATTTTATTATCACTTACTGTCATGCAGAATATTGCTCTATTTTTCTCTGTTATTTTTAGTTGGAGGATAACTGCTTTACAACGTTGTGTTTGCTTCTGCTATACAGCAGTGTGAATCACCTATAAGTATATATATATCCCCTCCCTCCCACTGCACCCCCATCCCACCCCACTAGGTCATTCATTGCAGACCATTGAGCTGAGCTCCCTGTTTTCCACAGTAGCTTTCCACTAGCTCTCTATTGTACATACAGTAGTGTATATATGTATATGCTACTCTCTCAATTCACCCCACCCTCTCCTTCCCCTCCAGGTTCACAAGTCCATTCTCTGTGTCTGCATCTCTGTTTGCTCTAGACTATTTGTATGGGTTACTTTATTTAATCCTTACTGTGACCCTATGAAATGGGTTCTACCATTGCCCCCATTCTGTAGAGGAGGCTTTGGGAGTTAAAACCTGACCAAAATGTACGAAAAGGACAGAACCACGATGAAACCAAGCAGCCTAACTCTAGACCTCACAATGTTGAACAGCATACCACACTCCTTCCCAAGTTACTTAAATTTTTCAATCCAGGACAAAATTATAGAATGTTATAAAGTTGAGATAATAATAGAGATGTGAAAGATTTGTTAGGCACATTAAAGAAGATATTAAATGAGAAACTTCTAAACATGTTTTTTGGCACTTAATAAAAATTACTGATAATCATTCCATTATAATTTAATTCAAATGTTTTTTACTTTTTATTTCTACTCATCTGATTCTGTTTTACTTGGTTATATTAGAGCTTGCATAGTATAGTTTGCAAAAACACTTACATCATCAGTTTTCCTTGTAGATGAAAGAATTTCCTTGTACAATTTTCCTGACCCTAAAAGAACATTAGAAGCAAGTATAAAGACAGAGTATGTGGCACATAATATACAAGACACCATTACGTTAGTGAATGAGTGGGAAAATGAAGAATACACTCTTTTACTTTCATTAGTCGGAGTTGGGTGTGCGTTTGTGTGGCTGTGTGTTTTGAATTTTAAAAAGAAAGGTTTGTTGCCTTCAAAGCATAGAATTTTTGGAAAGATTATTAATCAATGATTTGTCATACATGGATTAAATTCAAACATATAACACATGTAAGTCATCAATATTATGCTGTTAAAATACCAAATTCAGTAAATTTCTATAATACTTCATAATAATAGTTTTTGAAAATATTTATTTTTTTAAATTTAAATCATGAGTCTTATTTTTTTATTTCCTTGTAGGTTTCTAGGATTTTACCTGAGAAACAAGGAGAAATTGAGGCTCACATAAAAGACCTTGGACAGTTTGAAGAACAATTAAATCATCTGCTTCTGTGGCTGTCTCCTATTAGGAGTCAGTTGGAAATTTACAACCAACCAAATCAAACAGGACCATTTGACATTAAGGTAAGGACTTCTTGCGCTAAACATTATTTTTCAAGAGTGGGAATATTGCCGAAGTAAACCTCTTATTTGTTATCATCATCATTGTTGTTGTTAACTTAAAAGTATGTTCATAACCTACAAATTGAGAGTTATGTTTATTCAGTGGAAATTTTTAGGACTTAAGCCCAGGAGGCAGCATCTCAAGTAACCCTGAGAGAACTGCTCTAAGGAGGTGAAGGAAAGAGCCAAATTATATAGAAGTTTTGCAACAAAGGGCAGGTAGTCTGCACATCAAAAGATTATTGTCAACAAAAGAAAAACCAGATATTTCAAGTTAAGAAATGTAGCACTTTTCTATGTATGGGAAGATGCAAGAGTTTGGGCACGTTGAAATCATTCCTTTGCTAAGCACCTCAGCTCTCTGGGGCCAGTATCCTGTATTTTCATATCTTGAATTTCCTCAGGACTCACCATAGGGAGTGGCTACTAGATGACAGGTATTCTTTTCCTTCTTGAATGTAGTAAGAGCTCACTGGCTCACTTTGGAGGACAGTAGTTGCTGGTGACTGTGACCAGCTTGTTTACTGATATAGCAGGAAATATTCCATTTCTCATTTTTATAATGTTGTTGCTGTTCAGTTGCTCAGTTGTGTCCAACTCCTTGTGACCCCATGGACTGCAGCACTCCAGGCTTCCCTGTCCTTCAGTATCTCCCAGAGTTTGCTGAAACTCATGTCTATTGAGTCGGTGATGCCATCCAACCATCTCATCCTCTGTCGTTACTAGAATTTTTAGTTTTTTTTCTGGCATTTACTAGCAATAACGTTTCATTAAACTCATATCACTAGAATGTCTTCATCATGCTTATTATTATAATCTACTTTCCATCCCTTCTTTAATTGTACTTAATATATGTCTGTAGACTCCTTATCTAAAACTGAAGTCATTTTGAAGACACAGTGCCTACAGAAGTAGCAGCCCCTTAGTAGACATTATAAAACCCTCTCAGACTTATTCCAGTTTACCTTTCTATCCTCTTCTGCCTACTACATCCTCTTGTATTCAAGACACAACAAATTCTATAATAGCATTCTATGTATGTGGTTTCATGCCATGCCTGTTTTCTTGAATGCCTTCGTACTTACTCCTAGTAGAGTGAAAAACCCTTTAATAACTGCTTATAATCCTCTGTATCTATCTCTTATAGCCTTTGTACATTGATTGGCACTTAAATTTGAGAGACCTGAGTATCTCATTACACTCTTCTTTGAATGCAGAGGGTGTCTACTTACTTATCTCCCTTGTCTCATTCATTTTTTAACACCCCTAATCCCAGGGCTCAGTGCATGGTGGTAACTTGTTAGCATTTTAAAATCAGTGAATAAAAATATTAATGAGGTACCCAGAATGGTAATGAGATGGTATAAGAAAACTTAGGGATCCAGACAAACACACTGTCTCTTCTTTTCCATGTCCCTATGCACGCTGATTATTCTTTCTTTTCTCCCTTCCCAAGAGCCCATTTCAAGGATTTGTCCCAAATATAATTCCCTATTTTTGCATCGCCTATGGGCCAACAACATTAAGTACCCAATCACATAAACCAATTCACTTCAAAGCACAATCCATAAATTAATGTAATGATGGGCATTTTCAGACTAAATAAGTTAAATAATATCTTGAGTCAATTACTTCATTGACTTAAATTATTCAGTGCATTTACTTTCCAGGATTATAATAACCTAATGTTTTTTTTATCTCCATCCAGTTGGTCTTTTGGTAGGAGATAAGGATAAAAGCAAGTGTGAGGATCTTTTAGAGAAATATAATGAACATTTAGGAAGGATGGAACATCTAAGAATGAGGAAAGGAGAGAGATATAGAAAGGTTTGCCACAACTAAAATGAGTTATATTGGTTTGGCCAAAACCCAAACAAACTTTTGGGTCAACCCTATATTTGCAAAATGCACTGCATTACTTTTACCTTACTTTTTCCTGACATGTTTACATCTCCCATTCTGATAGCTACCCCCAGGAGCAGATGGTCTTGTATAAGTCACAGGTAGATATCATTTCACCCATGCAAAACCCAGGCTGCTCAACCAGTGGTATGGTCTTGGGTTCAGTTTGACAATTATATTCAAGTCACAATAGGCTTGATCCAGAACAAATTTAGGTAGATTTAAGAAGGTATACAGGACAAAGTCACAGCATAGCCAGTACAATTATGACACAGTGGAGGTCCTGACACCAGGGTGTGGCTTCTGATGAATCCGTCACCCTGAATTTGGGTCATGTGTGGTCAAAGGGATAAGATTGGATGAGTGCAAAGCACATCACTTTTTTTTTATTAGCACATCACGCTTTAAGTCATCAGTTCTGGCCTCCTTTCAACTCTTCCACCTAGCTAGCACCTGGTGTCCTCAGAGGTATTTCACTAGCGCCCCTTCTCCAGTTCAACTGTATCTCATCAATACTGATTTTTCATTACTCAGTAAATAATCTCAACAAAGAAGAACAGTTAAATAATAACCTCAGCCAGATTCTCAATTATCTTGGATCAAGTTGTCCTTAAATATCTCTTGATTTAGTGTGACAACAGGAAAGGCCATCAACTCTTTGTTCCTGACCAGAAATAGCTTCTTGGAACTCAGACATTAAAGCACATTCCTTCACTTTTAAATATAATCTGTGGTGAAAATGTGCTTCTTCAGTAAAATGATGAAAAATATATTCAATACGAGCTCTCTACATGGAATATGTTTAAGAGAAAAGATAACAAAATCATCTGATACAAATGGATATTGTTGACTCAACCAAAGTAACTTTCATCCCAGTGTGTGTACATCAGAATGGTTCACGAAGATGAAAAACTTTTATTGGGTCTTTGTCCATGGCCCATAGGTTCCTGCCAAATGGGCCCCTGCAGTTTAGCATGAAAGCTACTCTCAGCTGTGTTAATCACTTTCCTTTATTAAAGCTCCAAGACACCACTCTCACTGCTGTGTATAGTTTCAGAGAGTCATGATATCTGCCCTCCTGCAGTTCAGTCTAAATCACGGAAGGGAAAGGCAGCTGCTTTTTTCCCTGGCAGGAAAACTGCTTGGCTTCAGCCCTCTGTGCATATCCTGAGTTTTTCATCTCTGAAGTGTAGATTTCAAAAATATTCCTTTAGCCATTTTCTTCTGCTTGTGGATGTATCCAAGGCAGAAAAGATCATAAAATCATATATATGATGACTTGAAAGATTCTTCCCATAATTCTCAGACCCCTAACTTGTAATCAAGAAATAGAGACCTGTGTGAATAATTTACTAACCAACCTAGTTCTTTATTTCTCTTTGTCTAGCTTCTATCTATATTCACTGTCTAATAAATGATTTATGAAGATTGCATGGAATTCTTCTGTTAAAAGATGTGCGATTTTAATCTGTACAGCTTGCTGTAGCCCTCTGATTAAAGAAATTAAACTTTTTTCCAGTTAAAGAATTAGGTGGGAAATGGACTTGGCTTAACTTCAAACTTCTGGAAACCAAAAAGTTTGTAAATAGCTTTGAGGACATGCCCATTTTTTTAATACAGAAAAAGAAAGAACTTTAAAAAATATCCTGGGAATGAGTTAATGCAAAGAAAGAGATGCACAAGCACCCTCTACTTCCCAAATTTAAACAGATTTTCCTTGTCTGGCCATGGTGACTATGGCTACCTCTGAAACAAAGAGCCTAAGGCCTTGCCATCTAGGTCATTTGTTTTCTCTAGTCAAACTCTGAGCACCTGTTAGAAAAATATGCAATATCCTCTGAGAGCCTCAGTTTTGCCTGCTTGGCACTTCATGCTTATTGATGAAATGCAGCTAGCTGTGTAATGAAACCCAAATAAAAAAAGCCTTAAGGGCTCTGTTCTAATACATTGTTTATGCTGGTGTGAAAATTGACTGCACATCGCTTGGTTTGTGCAATTTACTCCCGAAATATTCCTATTCAGGAAATCCTGCAAATAGCAATATTCATCTTGAAAATCACCTCACAGAACCCTTAGCAAGCATGATCAATGAGATCGTGATGTAGAGGGCGAAAATTAGGCATAATCACAGCCCTTTCCCATCAGTCAGCCTACAAGAAGGCATGCCTTTGAATTTTGATTTTCAAATGAACTCTCGATTTAGACACAAAATATGTTGATTTTTGATTTCAGAAATGATAATTGAATGCTAATAAACAGGAACCAGTTAAAATTTCTATAAAGGGTGTTATGCTTTTAATCTTTAATGAATGCTTTCAGTAATGACCTGGAGATATACTACTTATTTGACACGAAACTGCCTAACTACTGTTTTCCAAACTTTTTATTAAAATAAGAGGTGGGGGGAACATGTAATTTTATGTTGTCTTACTGACTGAATTATGCACATATTGATGACAGGGAGGGTTCCCCCCCTTCAAAAATTACTTTCCACCTGTGATCCATTAAAAAGCATGACAGTGTTGTACTGGCTCTTCCTTACCACGTAAGACACTTGGTTGTCTATAAGGTCAATTTCACACTGAAAAATACCAAAGGACACAACTGTATTGATTGAATGTTAAAGTATCTGAATACCAAAATTCCCTGCATGTGTTCACATTGCTGTTAGTATTATCAAAGAAAAATTGCATAGGACAACTTAACATGCAAGTAAGATTTTATTCAAGTCTATTGCAATAGGGGAGAGGGAGTGCACTCAACATTGTTGAAAGAAAAGGCAAGAAAGATTTTAAGCATTGAGATGAGCTAGGGGAGAAGTACTAGACGTTAACTGGGAGGCTGCTTCTTTTGATTAGGCTAGTGTTTGCTAGTTGTCACTTCTTGAAGGTAAACTACTCTGCTCCCACAGAGAATGGGTGTTAGAGTACTATCCTTCTGGATGTTTAACATTGTAAAAGGATGGCTCAGAGGTCCTTAAAAAGGATACTCCTCAGTTCTAAAATATTTACATCTCAAAAGGGCAGAAAAGAAATTTACAATAGAAAGTTTTCTAAAGT